AAGTGTAAATGTTTTTATAGAACATACCAAAAAAAGTTCACTCGTGCTCAGAAGAGAACGATGCAATGTTTTGTTGATGTAAGTAAAATCTTGCTATCTGAATAAAACTGTTCCATGACATCATGTTGTCATTTGCATAAACTGTAACCAAGTGTAAGGAAATAGCAGCAGTGGTCTACCTCAGGTCAAACACAGGTAAAGTGGAGCAAACCAGAAAACCCTGCAAGCAATTGTTGTTTAATACATTTGAGAGAAATTGGGCATTAGCTTTTCTGGTTTGAGACGGTTTGCCTTATAGTTAGCAGGGGTTGGACAGTCTATAGTACCATAACCTAGGGGTGGGCGAATTTATTATTATTAATTTGAATTTATTGATTAGAATTTTACGTTTAGGGGGCGATTTCTTTTTAATGAAAATAGATTTTTTTTTCTCCAGCGCAGAGCTACAGTGCTAACATGCTAGTCTATGGTGTTGAGCAGTCATTTTGAAGCTAACCTAATGCTAACAGTCTCCCTCTGGCCTGACGCTGTTGCAATAACACTTCAGAAGTTCAAGAATCAGACTTTATTTAATCGCCAGAACACACATACGCACGCATCTAGCCTCCGGTCGCTCTGCGTAAGCCACATCTTTCATTCTCATTCTTTCATTTCTCAGCGAGCTCCCGTGTCCGCGGCGCGCACACACACGTGTCCCACTGAGCTGCTGCACTTTGGGGAAAGGCACGTCTCACACATTGCTCTCATTGCTCTGATACAAACAACGTGTTCCATGCTCAAGCTGTTAGCTACAGTAGCAGAATGTAAACAGGAAACTTAACTCGCACGATGTGGGAGTCACTGAAGTTAGTATTAGCGCCACCAGCTGGACCAATTGTTGTACTACAGCACAGTTACTCAGGCACAGTTGAAAGAACAAGCATGAAAACCCAAGGAGGAGGCTTTTGTTAAAGACTTTCTCTGTTATAACAATTGTATTTAGAGTAATCATTAGTTTTAAAAATGTGATATTTCATGTAAATAATGCATGTGTTTAATAGGATTGATATATTTGCTATGGCCCTTGTTTGTGCATTTGAAGTTATTTTGAAGGTGCATTGTGTCACTGTAAGTGAAGTTATTAGAAAACTGTTAAGCTGCATTTTCACTGTTTACAACGGCAGGGCCATCTTGTTTACAAGCATGCTTTAAGGCTTATTTCCTGTTACACTTATGCTCCATGGGGATTTAGATTGAACTGAATAAAGGAAAATCTATTTCTTTGTCATTTGTAGTTTGTTTTTGAATAGATAAAAATAATTGATTAAAATCAAAAATCGGATTTGGTGTGAAAAAAATCAGAGGTTTTTTTTTTTTAGCCATATCGCCCAGCCCTACCATAACCACTAAGCAATTGCTATCGCTAACAATATCTCAAATACGTAATGAGGGGCCGGTCATGTGCAATTTCCCACACGGCAATTGGTACTCATACTTCCCAGAAAAAAATGAAAGCACCATTAGACCATTCATAACTACAGAGCATTTCCACCTAAATCAAACTGTGTAATACATTTTAGTATATGTTCTGATGAGTATCTAAAATAGTAGTTTCAGAATTAGAATTTAGGATTTGGAATATCTCAAACTTATTGTGAATAACACATGTCAATTTAATTTCTTTGAATTAAGTTTCCCCGTTTTCTCAAAAGACCACAAAATAACAGTGGATGGTATTGATTCTCTTGACAACCCTAAGGCAGCACAAAGGAATAAACACTGGCTCATAGAGAGATGTGCAGCTTGAAATTCTGCAGCTATGGTGGTTTGTTCTTCTGACATCATCTATGGGCACAGTTTTTGTTTGTGCATCTTCCCTACTGCGCTTTTGGCTTAAAGCTGGGGTAGCCAACTTTCAATCCATTAACAATATATACATCTATAGTGCCACATTTTCAAAGAAGTTTGGTTCTATCATTCGTTTTCACATGGATTTCTTAGATGCCACATTACATGCTCTTTCTCACACACAAATATTCATATAGCGCATTCTACAGACCAAGGTCTCCCAAAGCGCTTTACAATTGTTCAGAGTTCAGATAGTTATTCCATTCTCTCCACACATGGTGATGATGGAAGCGAGCCGCCGAACACACTGGCGCATCAAAGCCCCAACCAACACCACCCATTCACTCGTTCACAACATTCATACCTATTGTATATTACAAGTAAAAGGTTTTATGAATAAGTAAAGAGATAACGCCTATTGTGGTGTGATAAGTTCAAAACATTTTACTTTAACAAGAACAGCATCACTGCAGACCACCAATACTGAAGTGCAAGTTAGAAATCAACCCTGTGTATGCTCGATAGTACCTGCATTGTTCCCTCTCCCCTTGTCCCATCGATAGCTATTGACAACGTCTAAAATAGCCAACCAAAGTCACCCCAAGTGAAATGTAACCTCTGCGTTTTGTTATTTTCAGTGGCGCAACAATGAGAGCTACGGATCTGCGATTGACGTGCCATTTCTTGTTAAGATCTACAACGGCAATGGGTCTTTTTAGCGATTAGTGCCCATCATGAGTGCGCAGGGGCAGAGGGAAGGACAAACAAGTATGTAACCAATAAGGCTGGGAGATAGGAAGAAAAAGAGTGTGGAGATAAAACTGAGAGCACGGCTGGGAGTGGCATGATTTTGGCAACGTACTAAGCCTTCGCGGCTGCCACTGTCGCTTTAAGATCACCCGATTGAGGATCAGAAACAAGCCTTTGATGTCCTTTATGAATGCGAAAACAGCTGAATAGAGTACCCCATTGACAATTGCCATCGCTACTGGAATATATTTTTCTATTGTTGAGTGAGCTGGCCTGGTATACCACACTATCATCAGACAGTGCCGCTGCATAACTGCTGAATTATTTACTTCACCTGTTCATATTTCATCACAGAATAAATCAGATGTGAATTTATTACCAGGGATTGTTATCATTATTATTTATTATTATTATTCATAGAAAACTCTCTATTGCTGAAATGGAATCAAGCAATTATCAGCAGTGTCTTATTTGTGCAAGCCACTTTAGTTTCTCCACCTTTATGTCCGCAGACAATCTAACATGTCCGGTTGTGCCTCCTGTCGTTTGCATTGAGTGACACAGTCCATTCAGCAAAGAGACGCCTGACAGCCTCACATATTGATCACGTCATTCATGCCAAGACCAGCCCATTTACATCCAGAAGTTATTACTAAAACATACTTCTTGTCTTTTAATTGACCTCATTACACACCATGGCCGAAGGCACCGCAGTGGGAATAATTGTCTGTCTGGCTATTTCAAAGGTGCCTATTAAAAATATAATGGGGTTATTATACTTCCACGCTCAATAAAAAGCATTGATCAGACATTGAACAAGAGCCAAAGCCAATGACAGATAAATGACATGCGTAAGTGGAGGACTTTTTCCTCGCTCCTGAGTAGAATTTGGTGTTGAATGTAACAGGTATGGTTAAAACTTGTGTGGGTCTATTCAGAGCACATTCCATTAGAGAGATTCAGTCATAGAGGGGCATGTTAAAATGCAATGCAATGGGGCGACATACAAAGAAAAACATCCAACTAATCTTCCCATATTCACTGAACCTGGCACAAAAATGTGAAAAACTGAACATATTCCTAACTTTTCTAACACATTCCCTCTGCCTAATTACCCACGGTTAAAAAGTGTGTTTCAGAAAATTTCAGAAGGGACAGAGTTTGGCCATCATAGTAATTCCAGTAGCAGCTGGCTAGCGAACAGTAGTCTTCCTGTTTTTCAGATGATAAAATACTCCATTACGAGATGAAGACAGCACAAAATAGGCTCATGTTGACTGTACCAGATGCTTTAGAATGAGTTACATCACTTTAACTGCTATCTACTAACATGCTACATTGGTAAAACCCAGCTCTCGTCCTGATCCAGCCGAGCATCAACAGCTGGAGATAAGTCCCCTGGCGCTGCACTGGGTCAAATTCAGACAACAATGAAACTTATTCTTAACTACTCCAATTTGCATATTCAATTTTGCAGTTAAGTTTCATAACTGTTTCTATAAACAGCTTGACTTATGTTCAAATGCAAAAGAGTCTGGGGCCACTGTGTGGATGGGAAAATATTCAAGATGACCGCCACTGCAGGTAGAGATCAAGTGTTTTTTCAAACAGTTTATACTATTAAGTACTATAGTGTGAAATAGATCCAGTCATATTTGTAAATACATTTGAACTGTGATAAAAGTGTTTTGGCTGGATAGGGAAACAATCTCTAAAAATGTATCCATTTTAGGATAGTAATACATTTAAATAAAAAGCAATACACTACTTTCACACAAGCCTATTGTCTGTCTTTTTGGTTGGCCCTCTGTATCGTAATGCTGTCTCTAAATCAAAAGCTAAAGATAAATTGAGTGAAAGAAGAGGCCATTTGGTATATGAATGGGCCCTGTATGGCTCAGTGTGCAACAAACAAGGTAGTTACACAGGGTGACAAGCAATGTTAATTTAGAGACATCGACATCCCTCTACAAATTATTGGTTCTAAATGAATAACACTGAAAGACAAACATTTCACATGATCACAAAGATTGTGATGAAAGAATGTATGGCATCTAATACCATGAAAGGTTTTGTTTAGAAATTTAAAACACAATTACAAGTTTCTATCAAGGAAGTAATACAGATTGAGATTTCGCTCAGCTCCTTGTTGCACATTCATTGAACCAAGGACGTTCAACATACAATGTTCTACGGAGAATGTCTATTACTGTAAAGTGTACAGTATATGTACTATAACTGTCCTATGGTACCGGTGCTGCCGCTGGGTTAGGGTCCTCATTTCATTGAAAACCATTGGCACACTTCTTTGAGATATAGTACAGAAATAACAGAACACATTGTTGTAAATTAGGTTTGGACCCAGCAGACTGACTATGCACAGTTATTTCCTTCTACACTGTTTTGCAATTATACTCTAATGCTCATCTCATTAAAACATACTCTTTAAACCAGGTGACACAGTCCAGGATTGTTTCCTTCAGTTTTTTGGACCAAGCAGAAAAGCATGGACTGCACTTACGAGCAAGAGTCACGCTGGCGTTGGCTGTCCCCATCTTGTTGGTGGCGACGCATGTGTAGTTGCCGTAGCGGTCTTCTGTCATGTTGTACACTGTCAGCACTGATCTGGTGCTCACACTCTTTATGTCGATGCCCTGACCTCTGATAATCCTGGAAGCACACATAAATTACTTAGAATTAGCTCTTTAGACATTGTTACAGATTTCAGAAATGCAGCAAATGTCGATACACATTTTCGGTCATCCATGTATCATTCATTCATTCATTCATTCTCATCCCTTTATTGTCCATTTCTGGGTCAGGGGGGTGGCAGTCAGTCAGTTGCCACCCAATTCACATAGCACCAGTCCCTCGCTGATCCTCCTGCAAGTGGTGGGTCCACGGGAAGATGGCTGTTCTTTCATCACAGATACGGCCTTGATCTTTCAGCGGGGACTTCAGGCAAAGTGGGGTTAAGTGTCCTGCCCAGGGACACAACGACAGCAGACATCAGTGGGAGCAGATGACATGGGTCGTGGTGGAATCGAACCCACGACCATTAGGTCCAGAGACCAACGCTCTACCAACTGAGCTACTGTCGCCCCCTCCATGTATCAATGTATCCATGTATCAACATCTATGAAAATATGAAATTCTATATTTAATCAAGAAATGTCTCCATGAAATTTAATAGTTAATCATCAAGTGTTTTTTTAAAGTGTTTTCATATTTATCATTAGCTCTTTGCATAAAAGGCCTTTTGCAACAACATACAGCATAACATACAATATTCATAGTTGAACAAGATGTGTACATAAACATACACACTTTGTCGGTATTGCAATTTAAATTTGATTTCCTCCCGTTTGAAAACAGATACTATCACAAATGCATGTGATACTTCTTGCATGCTGTGACAGAGCTGCAGAGAGGTGCTCTTGTGGAGGATGGGGTGACCTGCATGTGAAGCAGCTGGATTCCACTTGACACACTCATCGTTTTGTTGCAGGTGGCACAATGAGAGGAAACCCTCCCACTCTAGTTGGATGTGACATCTGTGCAGCCACAATGACAAATGTTTCCTCGTTTACATAAGGGAAATGAAGATATTTGACTGATTTTCATGCCTTTCTGTTTATGCCTGACAACAAAATACTAACACAAAAAGTGTTGTGGTTTTACGTTTGGGACAAGATTTTTACTGCACGAGCGGATATCAGCGCGTGTCAGCCTTTGTAAACTTAAGCTTGGCTAAACTGAAATATCCTGAGGTGACTGCGATGTGACCTTGTGTGCTGGAAAATATTTCTAATGGAGCTTCATCACATTTTCTCACTCTAGTTCTGTTCTCTGCCAAGCCCCCTCTGGGCATTTACATGTGTCAAATGCGTTACAAATGTCCTAAATGGTGATCATGTTCTGCCTAGGCAATCTTTCAACTAGTAAAATCTTGTGAAAGTCAAAATACGCGTGGAAAATCCAATGGAGAATTACTCAACACCCACTCATGTCAACTTAGTCATCAAAGCATTGTCATCTTTGCAAAGTTTTGTTCATAAAAACTCTCTAAGCTTCGAATAAATGCAGCCTGGAAGCAGTTCTGTGCTGATAAACTCAAATCAAACGCCTTAATTTTAATTCCCCAAAGTGAAATGGGATGTATGTTCAAATGCTTGAGCTATATTGAACCTACAGTACATGACTGCAGCGCTTGTATTAACAGCCTTTCATGATGAAAGAAGAACTAGAATTTTCATCCAAAAAGTCACAAAAAGCCCAAGTCCTTGAATTAAGTAAACACTAGAATCACGGCAACTTGCCTCCTGAGCAATTGGAATAAATTGAATCCAACCCATAATTACAATTAGCACAGTGTGAGCTCATGATTGAAATAGTGTTCACCAGGAGTGGCTAAATGACGAGTAATGGGGGTAATTTGTATTTTAAATGTAAGAAGTGACACTTGAATGTTGCCTGATTGATGTATGTGCAGCGAATGATTTCAGGGCGTCACAGGCAAACATTATGAGGCAAGGTGAGCACGTACATCTGCGTGGCATCCTCTCCCCAGGCACCCGGCGTAAGGGAAAACAAACTAATCACACTTCCCTTGACTAATACCTGCCTTAATGCCAGTAATTAGGGAATGCAAAATGGCAGCCAACAACATCTACGCAATGCAGCTACGTATGTCTTTACATTTAACTTTGTCAAAGGATTTAAAATGGGACAAAAACACAAATCACGTTGTTAAGAAAGCTCGCCAGTGTCTCTTCTTTCTGCAGAGACGTCACTACCAACTCAAAGGACAGTAAGCTGTGAGCTGCCAGTTCAGGAGGCTTTTTATAAGTCCAGACTTTTAAAAAGAGCTGCAAATTATCAGCAATCTCTCTGGGTACCCTGAGAAAACCATGTTCAAGCTTCTTTCTTCTGGTGGGAGATATGTGCAGGACATCTCACCATGCAAATAGTTCATTTCCACAAGTACTTAAATTGTGTGTAGTGTTTTGTTTTATGTGAACAAATATTTCCATTTGTTTTTTGACAGCAAATAGCAAATACACAAAATCTGGATTGTATTTTGGCATGTGCAACTATATTAGACAATTAGACACATCCAACATATCTGAATGTCTCCACACCAAAAACTTGGCCCAAATGACAATACTTTTGAAACTTGCTCTTAATGAAATTATAATAATGTTTGAAGAATCATTACCATGTTTCACCTAGATGGTTCTTAAATTCAATTCAACAAGGAAATACAGCAATGAAACACATTAGAGGTGATACAGTGTGTTTTCCATCATATTTTGCAGTACAAGTCTTAAAATATATTCGGTGAAGCATTTTTTTTGTATCAGTGACTCCATTCATTTAAATTCAAATGAGTTCTTCTGTCTGTGTGTGCTTTTGTTATACTTGCTTTTGTCATTCCCAGATGCATGATTTGATTGCACACAAAGAATTCAACCTGGTGTTAAAATGAGTTAAACTGAGCAAAAGCGCGGCTCCTATAATCATGCAGCTCAGTCAAATCAAAATATCCGGATCTTTTTATGCTATTACTGCCATTGTAAAAACTCTGATAGCCTTTAAGAGTTCAATCAAGCAAGTACCTTACAGTTGAATTGAAAATGTCAACAAAGTCATTATGAAACCTTATAAATCTGCATGAATTACTGACAAACTTTAGAATGTCTATTTTTTTAGAAAGTGGTCGCTTCAGGAAATACATCACAATGAAGATCAAAGCATTTACATGGATTTCCATCAAAACATTTCCTCACCTAATTAAAGGTGATAATAATGTTATACTTTTGGTCTGATAACAACTGCCTTTGAATTATAGTTATCAATCTTTGACGTAGTGTCGGTGAAACTTGCAGCTCTGCTCCTCTGCAGCAAAGTTGCGATGCTATTATATGTTATTCCTTCAGGAAAAATGACCATGCGGGGCAGGTAAATACCCCAGATATCAGAAATTCAGGAAAAAAAAAATGCCAAAGAGTGTAAGGAAAACGCTAGGGAGGTGCCAGGTACCTGAATTCAGAGGACTGAGGGGAGAGCAATGGTATGTGTGTGTAAATTATTCGGGAAAACAACTATAGTATAACATTTAGTTTTTCTCTTATAAAAAGACAATGGTTGGAAATGACATGAAGTATAATAATTTCTGCAATGACATTACAGTTTAGGGAGAGTCAGGATCCAAAATCTTGCCACAAGTTTCATTGATTCAATAAAAGTGAACGTTCAACTCTTGAATAATAATGCATGCGTTACATTATATAACTTTTCCCCCAGTGTACAACAAAGAATCCCTATTGGGATATAATCATTTTTACTGAAATATATTCTATCTTAACTGCATTTTAACAAAGTAGTTCCACTTGTCATAGACACTTTAAATTGAATTTTCAAAATGCAAATAAAATCAAATTGAATTCTTACCTTTTCTCCCCTTTGTACCACTCAAATATAGGGATAGGAACAGCAGCAGCCTCGCACCGGAGTAGTCCTGTACGGCCCAGACTCACTCCATTACTCTTCATCTCGTGGATAGACGGAGGAACTGTGGGGATAGAAAAATAGAAGAAGGGTTAGTGAGACTGTCTATGTCTACATGCGGCTGTATACACAAAGACAATACCTCACACAAGACTGAGGGCATTCAAGTTTGAGAAATGAAATGACAATTCATTTCATTTCTCCACCATGATGAAGGGCTGTATGGAGGTTCAGTGAGCAAATGGGGGCGGTAGGATTGTGTAAACGCAAAATAAGGTTCTTTCATGTTCAGAAAATATGTCTTACGGCAGTCCTTTTATACTTCAAATGTTTACCGTGCCTACAGTTACATGCAGCACCAAGGAAAGGAAATGACTGTATTTGATGTTGCTAAGAGGATGAAATGCATGCGCTTATTTCTATTGATTTACATGTTTTTTTGAATGCAGAGCAGAAACAAATATACACTCGATAGAATAATGTTGGGTCTACAGAGAGAACAACTTTTGCTTTCCATACTCTACTTATCCATGACTTCTTGGTGAACTTCGTAGAACATAACTACCGATCCCAACAATGTAAATACGAAAATTAATGAGTAAGGGGTGTTGGATATTTATACGTTTCTGATTAATCAAATACCTTTCCAAAATGTGTGTGTACAAAAGTATGTGACTTTGTTTGGTATAATTGTATTGTATGTATTCAGGTATGGTGCAATAAACATTTTGATTGATATTCCGAACCTCAAGTAGATCCAATTAGAGCTGTGCAATCAGTCTATCATTCAACTATTTTTGTATAGATACATACAAATGTATCAGCGAGGCTCAGCGTGCACTCGCAGAGCAAGTACTGTGTATGGAGCGTTTATACCTGGACTCTCTGATTATTATCCTGGGAGATTTTAATTA